CCTTAGCGCAGGACTATGGCGTCGGCGGCGTCCAGGCGCCTCTCGGCCTGCCAGCCTGCCCGACTTTCCCTCCGGCCGCTTCCCTGAGCCTGATCCCTTCCTATCAGCACTTAGCGCCGCCGGCCCTGGTCTCCTGGAACTGGGGCTGAGAGGAAGATGCCCACGACCCGCCCTGGAGAGACCAGCGGGGCTGCGCGGACCGCCAAGGGTCTGCCTTCCCTTCCCGCCGGCCTTCGCGGGAGGGACGCCGTGGCCTCCCTCTGACCTGGGACGGACTCACTTCTAACTGGAGACACCCCCCCCACACACACACACACAAAATCTTCCAAGATCCTGGCTGGAAAAGGACGATTTCAGGGTCAAAGAGTCCCATGTTGCAGCCTTTTAAGAAAAACAAAATCCCGGCAGCCCTTTTCCTCTAGAACTGGCGTCTGCCCAATCCAACCCCACCTTGTTGTATTTACCTGAAAGGTGCCCCGTGCAAGGGGTCGCGGGCGGGAACACGGAGGGCGCCCTTACGGGACGGCCTCTGCCTGGAGTGAGCCTCCCTGGAGGAATCGAGAGGACGAGGCGAATTTGCCATCCCCTTTGTATCTGGATCGGTAATGCAACCCTATATAAGTTGCCTAGGAACTTACATAGGCCCAGTGGCCCTCACAGTAAACTCTCTTACGGGCTTTTCTCGTGTACCGTCCGGTCAATTTCGACTTATGGCGGCCCTTTTCGGGGATTTCTAGATAGAGAGAAGTGGTTTGCCTTTCCCTCCTTCTGGGGGCACCCTGGCACTGTGCAGCTGGCCCAAGGCCGCACAGGCTGGCTCTACTCAGAGGAGGCACAGTGGGGGATTGAAGTCCCAGCCTCTGCCTCCGCAGTCAGACACCTAAACCTTTCTTTATTTAGAAAGAGCTTTCTTTTCTAAATCAGCATGAACCAGAGCTGCTCTGTCTGGTAAGGATGCCAACGATTGTCCTTCGCACGAACGCTTTCTGCCCATGCAGGAGCACTTAACGGGTGGAGTGGGCATTTATGGTATTCATGAGTGGCTGCGAGATGGGAATCCAGGAAGAGTTGTTGTTCTGGATTAATTGTGTGGAAGGGGTGGCTTTTGCTCCGCTCTTTCTTTGGAAATAAATCCTCACAATGCAATGGGGGTTCTAAGTAGTGAGGGTGAGGAATGCCCAGTATAGCTACCCAAGGCCAGTATTAAGGATTGTCCCGCTGCTCTAACTCTTGTTTTTGACCTTTAAAAAAAAAATAGAAAATTAGTCGAAAACGTAGGGTGTTTTTTTTTAAAAGCTGAATTTTCTTCGAAACGAAAGGAATTGGCGAGTTGCTTATATCGGAGATAGTTTATTTTTAAATAGAAGTTTCTTACTATTAATCTTACTGATTAATAAACTTTACTATTGGGAAAAAAAACATCGCTAGGCTCAGTGGTCTTTTTGGGCATGGGTGCGAGCCCCCCCCCCCCCCATACTTGGACTGTCGTTCCCAACGTTGACGGTTCTTCACCATCCCTCCTTGTGGCTGATGCGAGTAGGAGACCTGCAAGAGCCGGATCTTTCCCCACCTCCGCTGTACGGGTCTACTGGGAGGTATATCCCGTTCAACTCAATACTGTATAGTGGGGATTTGCCTCTAAGGAGTCCTCTGTATAGGACTGTCGGGTAACAAACCTATGAAGGCTTCAGAGTTCTGGATGAGAGACCATTTATTCCATCAGATACAGGAAGTGTTAACTGCACGTGGATGTATGGATAGGCGGAGAGGGGCGAATGTAAGGAAGGGGGAAAGGGGGGGAACCCGAGAGCCCTCCCACCCACTCCGAAACGTGCAGTAACTAGGAATCTGGGCCACTGGGCAAATTGGCAAAACAGCCTTCTTTGATTTGGCCTCCCTAGATGTGTTTGGACTACAATTCCCAGCAGTGGCTCTGTTGGCTTCGGAGGTTTTAATTCAAAACAGCTAGAGGACAGTGAGTACTACAAGACATGTAAGTTCAGGTTGGCTCGTTTCCTGATTATTATTTTTTTGAGCCCCGTGGCCCGTTATCCTGGGTTAACATTGACGGCCATTCCATGGGCGTTAAATCGTTAGGGGTCCATCGTCCCCGTCACACGGCAACTCTTGCATTTAAGCTCCGTGTGGGACGGGGAGATAAACGCCCACGGTACAAGGCAAGTGGGTGTGAGAAGGATGCTTGACCCTTTTCCCGCTCTCTTTTCTCCATGGCAGTTCTTTACCAACTGTTTTTCCTCTGTGCAAGTGTTCCGGGGTTGTCCAGGGTGGACACGTGTCTGGGGCTCTGCTGGGCAAGGGTGGGGAGACCCCTGGGGGCTAAATGGAGAAAGATAGGGCAGAGAACAAGTGAAAACATATCCACTATTTGTTCCTTCCATAATTGTGTTGTAAACCGCCCAGAGAGTGCTCTAGTACTACGGGGCGGTATATAAATCGAGACAACAACAAGAGAACACACAAAACACAATTTCTCGACGGGCATATGGATTCCTCCGAAACCAATACGGTATTTCTAGAAACGGTGGCGATGACCCACGAGAGAAAGGGAGGCAGCGGCACCTCCTAAGCTCTCTCAACAAGTAATTGGTTTGATAAGGGGATACCATTTCTCTTCCAGCGTTAGGTGTGAAAGACCATTTAAAGAACTACAGTTACCGTTAGGTGTACTGTACTGTACACCATAATCTTGGGCCGCAGCAACATTTTTTAAAGACATGAAGGCACACCTTCGAAAAATTCCATTTTTTAAAAAAAATAGAGAGTTAAATATCATTTGATTAAATACACCCAGTCCTGATCCTAGCCCTCCTTTACTTTGATTGGGTTTTGTGCCAGATTTATTAGAAATGAATGTATTAATTCTGGAGGGCTGTATCGGAGGTCTATGAAAGGAATCCTTCAATAGTTTCTTCCGTATGCCATTGAAAAAAAATACTGTATGTTGCCCCTAAATCATGCAGGAACCAACCTGCTCTGGGAAAGTAGTGGAATGACTGAATTCATCAGAACTTTCTTCCAACTTTTCCCCACATTCTGATGATTAATAAAAGCTGCATAGAATATTAGTCCAAAAGCCCTATAATCAAAGCACGTATATTAGAATCCTCATCCTACCATTTCCCTGGTTTCTTAGATCTATAACCTGGGAGTGGGAGAAGGGGAACTGGAAATAAATGTTTTCACAGATTCTTATTCTAGTATTCTAGACACATCTAATAAAAAATAAATTCCACAGACTCAATGCTAAGAATTAATCCCAAATAAGCATATACACAGAACTGGATCCTATACTTATGTAACAATGGCAGAACTAGCATTAGAAGAAAGAAATCACCTTAATTTTGTTTTCATTTTACTATTTTAAAACATCTGTTCACTCTTCCCTTCCAGATGTTTGAATTTTTCCAGTTCGGATCACACACTGTTTAATATTGTCCCATTGAGTGCGATTAGACCAAGCAATCTAAGATTTAAACTGAGGCAACAACTTTAAATTGATGTATTTCAGCTTGGTAGAATAAAATGAAAGGCATTTGTCATTAAATGTCTTTGTCATTAAAAATAAAGCCCATTTGTAGGATATTCAGTCGCTTTGCCTCCTTTACTCCTGACCTCTCTAAAAAGAATTGAGGAGGGAATGCAGAATGGTTTGCCATCAACTTCACTGAGAGACAGCATGCTCTTAATCCTGCTGGATGACTGAGCAAATTTTGCCCTGAAATTGCAGAAATGGACACTGAATGTCTAGAATGCACAGTGAATTTCCCACTGGCCCTTTCCATCTTTTGTCCTCATCTGAAACTGGACTGTTTTCAATAACTCACTAGTGTCTGGATGTCAGAAGCAGAATAGCAAATATTGCTTCCACTTTGCCCTGCAGAATCAAGGTGAATCATAATGAAAGCCAAAAAGATCTTGGCACTTGAGGCACTTTGCAGTGTCTCCCCATGGGGGAAGAAATTAGCAAACTGCTGTTTTTTCTTTAGATCACAGACTGGTTGGCCAAGGCAACTGCCTCATTCTGCCTAACGGTAGGGCAGGTTGTATTTCTTGCTTTTGGGTATGGGAACAAGACATCATTTCTTTTAGTGTGTGAGAGTCCAGATTCCAGCCTTTGGTGCGTGGACCACAAAAAGCCACTTTGCACTTGTTGGTGTGTGTGTGTGTGTGTGTGTGTGTGTGGGTGTGTGTGTGTGTGTGTGTGTGTGTGTGTGTGTGTGTGTGTGTGTGTGTGTCTTGCCTATTGTTTTTATTTTCCTTGTGCCTTTGGTTGTGGTGGGACTTTGGAATCCCCCTGTGTACGAAGGGCGGGGTCACAGTGTTGTGCCCAACTCTGTGGGTGGTTTGATTGCAAGAAAACATCTGAGCAGGGAACATAGAAAGAACATTGGGTCCAATCGCTTGTTTCTGGGAGGTGGGTTCTGGGAGGAGGGGGTGGGGAGTGATCCTCATGTTTTCACCTGGCATTTTTTTGTTTTTTTGGTCTCAGCTGCTGGCCACCTTGTCTTCCATATGGTTGGGGTTATCTTCAAGGAATCTCCCAGAGAATCACTCCTTAAACCTCCCTTTGTCTGTGGAGTTGAAAAGGACATTGTAGTGACTGAAAAGGACCTAGACAAAATCCTCACTGTTTTCAATGCAGGACTGTTTAATCAGTCCCTAGTGACAATTTTATGGGTTTTAGGCGGTACAATGGTGTCTTTGAAAACCTTGGGGCCTTCAGGAAAACAAAGAGCTTGAATTTTATAGGCTTACAACTCAAATTAGAGCTGTCCCAATGTGCAAGGGAGATTATCAAATTTGTATCATAAAACAACCCCTTTATAAACAAATGATTGGTGGGGATGTGGTTAGTGGAGGGAGGGACAATTCCAGAAAAAGACTTTGTGGAAGATAGACTGGTAGCTAAGCATGCCACATGCTATGCCAATCTGTTGGCTTTGGTAAACTCTGAATAAGTTTGTTTTTAATTTTTGTTTTAAAGCATGGTTGGACTAAGTAAATTAAAGAGCTTTGCATGCTTCATGAAATATTGTCCCCGAAGGTAACATTGATGGTTATGCGTGCAGAGTAGTATGGTTTGCAGGGGCAGGGTGAAGAAAGAGTGAGTCCCAATTAACCCAGTAAT